AATTCAAAACTTAAGTTTTAAGACTTTATGCATTAAAAAAATTTTCTTTAACAGAGTCTAAACAGCATCAAAATTAAAACCACAGAAAATAAACAGACCACTAGAAATGAGGGTAGACAGACTATCAGAGGCTAGGAAAGTGATTCTGCCCTGTCCCTTCCTCATTATTTCATCCAGGCTTCTTCCTTTTAGCCCTGCTCCTTCACCAGAAACCACTGTAGCTCACTTTAGTCTTGATGTAGATCAATGAATCCCAAATGCCAGTCTGTTAACTGCTAGTCCAGGGAAACATAAGGCAGCCAAAAGAATTGGTTTTTTCTGAGATTATGTCTTTCCTACATTTTTGGTGGTAAAATTGTGATCCTTCCTAAAGGAAATGTTAGTGATAGTAGACAGTTAATTCTTTTTTATAAACCTTGCTTGACAAAATTAAGTTAGGAGTGTCCAGATATTTAGATTATATTCTTCCTACGAAGTCTTTATCTGGGTATTAATTGGGAAAGCTGATAAAAGTAAATAATAATTTAACTTTAACATTTCTGTAAATGTTTTGACACATACAAATGTGAACTTAAGGTGCTAAAATGCAAACAACCAAAATAAGAATATATTCAAACTTCTGAATTGGTCATAAAAACTTTCAGAAATTTCTCAACTGCTGGTGGGAGAATTATTCCCTAGTTCACAAATGTTAAAATCAGTTCCAAAAGACAGTAACCAAAGGGACTACTAGTCACAACAATTTTATTGTTGGGAAAGCTTAAATTAGGTAGGTCTGGGAGTCAAAAACATACCTTGGTAGTAATAGCTGCCGTCTGAGATGTATTTTTAGGGATGGATCCAGGAGAGCCTGGAGATCCTGGGGATCCAGGTGAGCCTGGAGAACCAGGCAGATTTGTTGCAGGTGACTGGCTGGAGAGGGTAGTCTTTGTTCCACTAGAGAGGGAAAGCTTGAAACTTGGGCTCTGCCGACCAGAAAGATTCGTTTTCAGAAGCACCTCCTTTTCCTCACTTTCTTTTACTAAAAATGAGAATACTGTCAATAATTGTCACCCATACTCATATTTTCAAAAACCTCCAAGTGAGGTGGCACTAAAAACACAATTAACTAGCTTAGTCCTTTGCCAGAGAGCGACACTGAAATTCAGTCTATGAACAAAGCTTAGCAAAATACTAAGCATCCTTATCCACAGGACTTTACTACTGAGAAGGAAGGAGACCTTCAGTATTATAGTCAGTGTTCCTACCCTTCTGAAATATCTCACTCAAGACAAATTAGGAAAATTTAGTCTATACCTTCACAACAGAGCTATTAAATTCACACTCTATAAAGCAAGAGTCTTATAATTTTAATATCTGTTGTGACACAAAGTAGATACTAATCATTCTGTCAAGAAAAAAAGGATAAACCTAGAGTGAGAAAGCCTTCAATATTTCCTTGCCCATCTTTTCAACATACATTTCTTCCTCTCCATGAATTTACTTATTGGATCCATAATGTCATCATCACTCTTAGTTTTGTCAGATGGAGACACGACAGCTTCTCCATCTTCCATGTCATCTTCATCTGTGTTGAACCACATCTCCTCTTCATCTTCTAGTGTTCTGGCGTCTCTTCGATATCTATGATTCCTCAAAATGGAACGCATACTATGAGTAAAGAGAAGAAAGTAGAATTAATAGACTCATATAAAGACTTTTGTCTTCAAATATTATCCCAAATTACAGTCTTAATAGATAAATGGAATAATACAGATTTATACACACAGAGGTGGGGGAAAAAAAAAACAGATTTTACCTAGCATATAACAAAAAACTACACTCCACCATATCTAGTGTTAAGTAGTGGAATCAAAATTCCCATTATCAAAACTGTACTGTTACAGATCAGTTATTAAACTTGCTAACACTATGAATTAACAAGTCTTAATTTATGGATTTTAAAATATACCACAAGTATGTGAACTCAGGTATTTAGAAAAAAATGTACACAATTGCATTAAAATAATTTGTAACCTTAAAGCAAAGCAAATACAATAATATTCTGATTTTACTTTGGACACAAAAGTAGCCTTATTGCCATATCAGTGTTTTGCTTTTTTTCTTTTGCATTATCTAACTTGATATATGCCTGAGAAAAGTCTACAAATCATACTGATACCCACCTAACACCGTCAGGAAAACATTTACATTGACCATTAGAGAAAACTACAACCTCCATCTGCTTATTTCCCCCTCTGCTGCCAAGCTAAATAATAAACAAGCAAAAAAGAGCTACCATCATAAACTTGTCACTGAATGAATAGGTTCAAATATGTGGTAATCTACCTGTCAAGTTTGGGATTATCTTGCCTTTCTCTTTGTTGTTCAAATCTCAGTTTCAATCCTTTAAATGTTTGTACATAATCTACATCTTCCAATGCTTTCCAGTAATTTTCAATTACATGAGCAGTTAATGATTTTATATCTTCCTATAAAAAAGAATTATAATAAAAAATGATAGGAAAAATTAGCAAAATATGAGGCTTAATTGTAGTGAACTCATAAACCCGCCCAAAATGGTTTAATTTCTTAAAATTATTATCCAATCTTAGGGACAAAAAAATGCAAATGGGCATAACAAATACTGGCTACTTCAATAGCCCCTGACTTTTGGTGTACCTCAGAATTATCCATGGCTCTTTCCAAAGTAAATGCTCAGGTCCTACCCTAGATGATTCTCATTCAGAAAGTCTGGGGTGGTGCCTAGGCATATATACAGAAAAGTGCTAGAGATGGATGGCAGTGATGATTGCACAACAATGTGAATACACTTAACGCCAGTGAACTGTACACTTTAAAAAATGGTTAAAAGGGCAAATTTTGTTATGTTTATTTTACCGAAATTTTAAAAAAGCATGCCACAGATAATTCTGAGACACACCAATGTTTGAGAACTACCAGCCTACTGTATCATTAAAGAATGAAATTTACTCTTTAGAGACATATGGAGGAATGTCAAGGAAAATTCAAAAAACCTCCAAGTTAAAAACAAAAAACACATCTGAATACTTATGCCAACTATAATTTTACTTTCTTAAAATGACTACCGTGACAGTGTTAAATCAATTTTCAAACTATCCTGAGATAGTTTGAAACTAGCTGCTGAGAGAGATTATTTTGGTTTTTGTTAGTTCAAATTGAATCTCTCATAAGCTTTTGGTAACACTGGTTTTCTTTCAAAAATTCTCTCCAAATATAATAATCTCAAATAAGCCAAAATACCAACAATGCATATTTGATTTGCTCAAACAAAACCAAAATTCTAACTAAAAAGTATAGAACCTACCACTCTAATAAATTCAAACATTTCTATTATGGCAGAGTTCATCAGATTGTAGCGGGATCCATTGTTGAGAAATGCTTTGACTACTGGTTCAAACAAAAAACTTTTCATTATATAGCGGTTGTAAAACTCATCTTTTAATCCAATAATCTTTCTCTTAAAACGAAGAGCACCTGAAACACAGAGGCATTGTTGTTCAAATTACATACCATATCTTCATATTTTAGAATTACAAAAAAACCTGTTAAATAAACATAGTTCTTCATGCAGTAATAAGTTACTGCTTCCAGAAGTATGAACCTAAAGATAAGGATTACAAAAAGGTTATCAGAAAAATGTATTCTAAAAGCAGTGTATGTCACCATAGAACACAAGTCTTAGAGAGCCAGAAGAATTCTGGAAATAAGTTACTGATTACCAAAATGTACTTTACATCTGAAATTAGAGCTAAGCTAGGGCTAATAAATGAATTAACCTATCATACTACTTAAGATGAGAAAATTCCAAATATATCCTTTTGTATATACCTTCAAAACAACAGAAAAAACATTGTTTTATTAGGGCAATCCACTCTATAATTTGATCTTCCTTATTTTTGGACACTCTTATCAGGGTTAATGGTGTTTACATTGATTTGTTTTTGGATGTGTTTGTAGAAATGCCGTAAACCCACAGAAATCTGCATGACCCAAAATTTGCCTTCCCAGAGTTTAGGAATCAGTTTAGAGGATGTTTTTAAAATGTGGTCCTCTATGCTTACTGCAGCGAGTATGCTTTTTATTTTTTTCCCCTAGTTTTCCTTTTTACAATTAATTAGGCTTTAACTTACAGATTAAAAGGTATATTTACATCTTGAGGTATGGGGAGTTACTTAAGTCACCATTCGTCAAGATCCAAATATACTCAGACAGCTAGACTTCAACAAAGCCCTCTTTACCTAAATGGAATTATCAGTAAGTTAATGCCCCAGTTATTGTAAACAGTTCAAAAAAGCATACTCACTTCATGCAGTCACATCGTCTTCGGTTGGCAAGATTAAATATTGTGTTTGTATTTTGGTTTCTTTGGAGATCATGGAAGTGGCTCGTTAAATTGCCAATTTGTTATTAATCAAGTCCTTCATGAGCAGGTAGCCAGGCAACCATGCTGACACGGTTTCTGGGTAGGAAGGCAGAGGAGTAAAGCAGCTCAATTTTTCTTTAGTTGGCAGAAAAGAGGTCCACAAGTGAATGCCCAATTAGGTACAGTTGATTATAAACTGCCTTAACAATCCAACTTATTTAACAGTGTCTCTTACTAAAGAGACACTGTGGGCAGGGAGTTCAAAATAGTTTATAGAAGAGTAATTGCATTTTATTTTTTAAACTACTGAGTATTTTCAAATACATAAGCATGGTGAAATAAGACATTTTAAACAATAAGCATCATCTTTCTTTGTGATAAGTCAAAGCCTAATAAGGGTTTATTTTCCCAAAACAATGATTTGAGAGCTTGTTTTTTTTTGTTGTTGTTGTTTTGTTTGTTTTTTAATGTTACTTGACAAAGGAACTTAGGCAGTTCCACTTGTTAGAATAAAAATCAATACTTTAGAGCTCATGCTAATAGGCCAAATTTTAAGCTTTTAGTAATTAAGGCAAGTGCTGTTATTTTAAAAATTGTTACTCCAACTTTGCAGGCTTTGTGAAGACTTGTGTCCTACCATAACACACACTAATTGAACCCTGTGGTCTGCATGCAGTTCCCGGGTAAGTGAAAAGAAAACTCCCTTCCTAGAACTCGCTAAGACCAGAGTATGCAGCTGGCACCACTGCCATCTCCTCAAGAGCAGTTTTGTTCAGAAACTGCCAAGGTAGACAGAAGGTAATTCTAATGGGCTTTTGTTTTGTTTTGCTCCTCATTTGCCCTCATTTATTTATATCAAGAATCGTGTCATTTCCACCCAAACCTCTCCCCAAAAAGAAACTTGCATGAAAAATGTCCAACCACTATTCTTGCTGTTGAATAAAGTTACTTTCAAAAATTTACCAGTGAGTTCTAATGAAGTCAAGTTGCTCGAAGGAGGTTAGAGAAAGCTTTTGCGATAGGTCAAGTTAGCACAAATGTAGGATTTTCAATGTAAAAGTGCACTCTGCTACCACTCACATCTCTAACCTTTATTAACATGCCAGGAATCTCTTACGCTTAGTTTCAATCATCTCTAAAACAAATAATAAATCTTTACCTTACACAACATGACATTTTATGTAAGTCTGAAACTTTTTGCTGCGTATGTAACTAATGATAGCTGAAAAAAAGCATCTACCACAAAATTCTTTTCTACTTCATTCTTCTTATAGATTTCCGTATTTTAAAAAACAGCCAGACAACATATAGGTAGGAACTAAAAAGCTACAATTTAAGATCCAAGAATCTGGTAAAGGCCAAGAATGATAAAACTGTGCGTGTGTCTGTGTGTTTATACACATACATATCTAACCTATAAAGACTAAATAGGATTGTTGTTCTCGCTCACAGACTTGACTACGTCGTCTTTAAATATGATACAAGTATAATAATTAAGAACCAGCAGGTATAAAAAATTCAAAGTCCCCAAACTGTGTACATTTAACCAATCTTTTGTCTTTACAAGTGGACATCTAAATCTACTTATAAAATCTCCCTTAAAAAAAAAAACTATACTTAATATTTTAATGTACTGTTTCCTAAGACTGAATAGATAGTAAATCTCTGCAAATTTATGCTTAGTTCTTTTAGAAATCCTTGATTAAAACTCCTACTGTATAGCCAGTCCTAAAGAGTGCATTCCTAATGACTGACATCTTCTTTCAGAAGCCACTCATTCTCAATCCTGGGAAGAGAGCCACACTGAGTGAGAATCATTTGAGAAAGAGTGAGGTTTAATTAATGATAACCTAACTTAGTTTGAAAAATATTAAAATAATAAAACATAACTAAGATTTTTGCTAGCATGATAATTTCCTACAATATAAACTCATTAATTTGTCATGATTCTCTTCATAGTTCTCACTGAACTGTGAGAAATTTTCTTTGCAATACTGTAAGCAAAATGAGATGAAGGACTCTTAGAAAAGGCCTTTCCCTTTTCTGCCACTCTCCCACTAGACTCATGTGTTCTACCTATACCAAACCTCTAACATACCACACTTTCACATTTGTTCATCTTAATTGTGTATTCAACCAAGAATTTCACACTCTCCCATGATCAAGACACAACTTACTTTACTTCTTTTTGCAAGGTTTTCCTGATCTGCCTCATTCAGGGAGAATAAATCATTTCCACTATACATCCAAACACACCTCGATATAGTGCTTTTGATGTTGTTTTGGTATTTACAGACTATCTCCTCCTAATGAACTCTGAGCCACTTGACAACTGACTTCAGGTCAATCATCTTTTTCCTAATACTAGGTATGCATCATACTTCATCAAATGTAAGATGCCACTGATCGCAAAAAAACCTTCCTTTCTACTACTAAGAAAACAAAACAAAGAAAAAAAGCTACCAATCATAATGACATGCCATTAATTTTAAGACTCACCTTGATTTGAGATGATAAATGCATATCTTAGAATAAAACATGGTAGTAGGTGTTAAATTTATTTAAATAAAACTAATTTTTAAATTTATTCAGTTTTCCCGTTCTGTCCCATCTGCTCAAACTCCCTTTCCTACACTCAAACAAAACCTTCTATGTTGACATGAAAGAACAAATCAAAGAAGTGTTCATTATTAACTTCCTCTCAACTTGCTTTGGGACTCTCACTTTTGCTATGATAGGTTTATAAGGAAAATGAATATGAGTTTAAGAGCCCTTTATATGCAATATTCCTTTTGGCTGAAAAGCATCTGACCACATGTATTCTCAGTTCATACTGCAGTGTGTACACCAGACTGAAAAACTAATTCAACTATAACAAGTGTCACCCTAATAGGTTTCCTTCTAAGAAAAATTCATTAGACTTTCTATTTTGAATACCATTTTAAAGATAAAATGTTGACAGAATAAATCAATGTCAGAAATATCCTTATAAACAATGTTTTCATAATTTAAGGATATTTTAAAAGTCAGTTAAGCAAAACATTTTTTTTGGCTGCACTGCACAGCTTGTGGAATCTCAGTTCCCCAACCAGGTAATGAACTCAGGCCCTCGGCAATGAAAGTGCAGAGTCCTAACCACTCACTGAGGACGGCCAGGGAATTCCCAAGCAAAATGATTTAAAATGAAGTAAAAAAAGACAGCAAAAATGGATGTATATGTTCAGGCTTCTAATTACTGGATGATTATGATGCCTTTATGCAACAACAAAACCAAACCTACCCATAAAAACCAAAAGGCCAAAAAGAGTTAGTTACCAACAGACATCTCTTATTGAGCCTCTAGGGTACTCTTAAAACTGGTGTGCCAACTTACCAAAGAAGGCTGACTGCTACATGATCAAGAATATTCTGGGTTAACCTATTTCTAATTCAGAAACATGTTTTACTTCTGTAAACTAGGGTCTTCAGAATACAGTGAAAGTCAACTTTTGAAAAACATGTATAACTAAGAACAGCCTTGTTAAAAGACTATCTGTTGCTCTACGAGAGGTGACAAACCTTTCCCATAAAGGTCTACAGAATACATATTCTAGGCTTTGTGGGCCACATATGGTCTCTGTAGCTTTTTTTTTGAACAATGCTTTAAAAACACAGAAACTATTTTTCACTTTCCAGGTTGTGCAAAAACAGACCATGGCCACAGCTGTGGTCTGTCACCCCTTCTCTGAAGTATCTGAGGTAACACAATGTCATATGTCAAATATGTCTCAGTAAAGCTGGGGGAAAAATATTTGTGGAATTAATGAACAGACCATCTGCAGGCATTTGTGCTAGGCATTCTGTAATTTAGAAAAAATGTATTTTGGAAACTCGGTGCTATTAGCTATGTTTTCCAAATTACAAATGTATTCTTCATGACTCAGTGTGAGACTCTGGTCTCACAAGAATGTCCAATTTGTGATTGTCATGCTATATAAAGTCAAAAATAAATACGGCAAATAAAATGATTTAAGGTGCCATTTTAATAATACTTTAATACATTTTGTAGGTACACTCTAACCCCTTTACTGTATATTGAGAAAGAAGAGTCAGGAAAATCACCTGATCAAAATATGGCAAAAGTACATTATCAGTGTAGTTTAGTATTAGAACCTCGGTCTCCTGCAATCAGTGATCTTTTCTTCTCAGGCAATAACACCGAAATAACAATAATAATATACAGACAATAAGTAATTCTACCAGAAGCAACACTTACATAATGCCAAGAAAGCATGCTTCGAGGCCATAAGAACTAACACTCTCCGGAGAATGTCCTTATTAATAATGTAGTTCTTTATGTGGTAGGTATGGTGCTCCACACAAAATGTTAACAATTCCAATACAAGTGCCAACAACTGGGCAGTCTGAAAATCATCTAAACAAAACAAAACACAATTATATTTAATGGCTTATATTCTTTTCCTCCCCAAATTAAGAATCCGAATTCTAATCAAGTAAAATCCCTTCTATTAACCCAAATATGTTAAAGTTAAGGAAAAGGGAACTAACATTTATTGAATGCCTACCATGTGCCAAGAACTGTGCTTTCCATTTTTTCACATTTAATTTAAATAACTCTGTGAAGAATTAGTGTCACAAGACCCAGGCGTGAAATATTAGTAAGGCAAACTGGGATACAAATCTATTAGATCTGTTTCATTCTAGAGGGCAAGAATGCTCTACCATGTCTTATGTCCCTCAACGGATATACAGATATCACAGGAGGTCCTCCTACCACACATCATCTGGCTTTGATGGAACTACTCTCTCTGCTCCTTTGATTCATGTACTTTGTGCCTCCTTTTACTACACATAATGAGTCCACGCTGAATTATAATTACTGGCTTATCTTCCTCACCAGGCAGTAAGCCTCCAAAACTATTTTACTCACTTTTTATTTCTCCCATTTAACCCCTAAAGATTATATATATAGCACAGTGCCTTCCACACAATGGGTTCTCAATAAATGTTTGATGAATTGAACATGTGGGTTTGGAAAGAAGCCTCAAGCTTTACCTACTATGAATAAAGTAGACAAGAAAAATTAGTATCACATTTCCAAGACTTGATTCTAGAGTCATTAAAAAAGGTAAATTTAACATTTTATTCTAAGTGGTGTCATAAGTTAAATATACTATATTGATAATTCATATGACAAAATAACTTACTTATTCTCAAAGCTTCAATAAGGAATTTCCCAATGAAGACCCTAAAACTATTTTCTAAATCAAACACACATACACAAAGCTAAAGGAATAAAATGCAGAAATAATCCTACTTTGGAATAATCCTCAATGCAAAGAAAAACTGCTTAATACTAAGCACAAGCTCTGCTCTGTATCTACACACCTGGAGTACAAATAACTTAAAATGAATCTTCTAATAGCTTCTTCCTTCTATTTGTTTCATACATGTAAATGCAAACTAAATACAAATATTGCTTTAACAAAAAATATTGTTTTAAAATTCTGAAAGCAAAAAATTATCTCTAGTATATTCTTTCACAGTTCTACTACCTCTGATTATAGCACTTTTAAAAGAAATTTTACCTTGAAATTACCTCTTTTGAAAATATATTAGTAAACCTCTAGGTTAACACCAACTTTTTGAGTTTCAGAATTCAAGAACCAAGAACTTAACTACCAACCTGTATTACCTTACCTTTGCTAGGTTTGTCTTCTGTTGTATTTGCCAGTAAGGGAGCAGTAAGGACATGCATACAGTGCTTGTAGAAGAAACCCAGAAATTCAGTCTTTTCTGTTTTCTAAGGAATCGAAAACACTTCCATGAACTTTAACTGCATTGGTTCCTACCAGCAATAAAAATTATACTAGTATGAAAAAGAGAAAAATGCCCGTAGCTTACATTGGCAGTAGCTAACATGTTTTCTGGGTCAACTAATGTTCGAAGGAGGCCCATAAGCTGGACTGCTCCTCCAAGTTCAGGGTCTGTATCACAAATCATATGTTCTATAATGAGGTTGATGAGCAAAATATCCTGGTGAGAAAAATACACATAGTAAGGATCACTTATTATAGGAGGGAATGGAAAAAGCATATACTATGAGACATGCTACAGCATTATACCTAGCTATGGCTATCTTAACTGCAAACAAAATGAAATGCTTGACTGACTTCTTTAATGGATACAGAGCAGTTTTCCGAAAGTATGGTATTGGCACATTACACAAATAGTACCAAAAAGAATTTATCTTTAATCAAGGGGATTTATCTTTAAATCCCGATGAAAATAAAAACAAAGTTTCAGTTTGGTGCTAACAGATCTTTTACACCTCTGGATAACAAAATCTCCCTTCTGAAGAAAGCTAACGGGCTTTAACAGTAAGAATGTTTAGCTAAAATTTATAACATTGTTCTTTCACTGCATTTTTATAGATTCCTTCTATTTATGGCAGATGATAACTGTACCTATTCTCCATTTATGGAAATGATATAAAGTTTCCATTTAAAATAAATTTAAGAAAAAATTAGTTGGTACCTGAATGTCTGAAATTGGGGGAAACAAGATTACGTTATTTAGAGAGCACACAGGAGAACAAATATATTATAGATATTCCAAATGACATACAAAATTGACTTAGTTTTCCTGATGCTCTACTATGACTGGTTTTCCTGGCTGAAGAGGAAAAATTGAGAGGCATTCAGTGAGAAAAATCCCTGCTCTTGCCTATATATGCAATGGTAGGATAGACAGAGAAAATGCAGACATACATGGAAATAACGAATCAAGACTGGGAATCAAGAAGACGACTGCGTATGAATGAAGTACATCAATGTATGTTCAACTAGTGGGTTACAGCGCCAACAAGAATAGCCTTTATTTTATATACACACACACACACACACACACACACACACACACAGGCTTTCAAGATAGGACTATTTTATAAAAGCAAAATGTGACATAATATTCAACAGTTCAAACTGGCACTTCCTGCACCTACCCTGACATTACAATTTTGTAAACAAGTGTTAAACATAGAAGTTACTAGGCATTCCACTTCATTTTGACATCACAACACATTACGATCTCTTTAAAAAGTCTATTTCCTCATTTTGTAAAAATATGATAGGCTGGAATTCTACATATATTTTTTTCTAAGAGATTGTCTTTTTACCCTCTCTGTTTGAGGGCAGAATATCTTAGTTTATTCTTAAGTAAAAAGTTACTTCCAAGATTTTATGGGGGAAAGAGAAAATAAAAAATCAGGATGATTGGTTTAATTATCTGAAAAGAAAACAGAGCACAAACATTTATGGCTTCCACATAAGCCATGTACCACAGACTCTGGGAGAACCTTTCACATCACCAGGATACATTCTCTCACCGACTCTGAAATTGATGGGTAAGTGAGTGAGTGAGTGAATGTGAGTGAGTGAGTGTGTGTGTGTGTGTGTGTACACAACACAACAGCTTGTTCCCTATGGTTAGGCAGTAAAGAAAGCACCCTAAACACTTTCCAAAGGAATGTGCTTCATCATTCTTGATGATTTTGAGACTCTATCCCTAGCAAAGCCAATGTTTTCCTAGGGAAGTTATTCATAATTCCACATATAGAAGAACAATTTATTGATTAAATGATTTAAACAACACTACATAGCACATTAACTTCTGAATTAAGAAACTTAATCTCAAATTTTTTTTTTTCTTTTTTTTTGCAGTACACGGGCCTCTCACTGTGTGGCCTCTCCCGTTGCAGAGCACAGGCTCCGGACGCGCAGGCTCAGCGGCCATGGCTCACGGGCCCAGCCGCTCCGCAGCATGTGGGATCTTCCCGGACCGGGGCACGAACCCGTGTCCCCTGCACTGGCAGGCGGACTCTCAACCACTGCGCCACCAGGGAAGCCCGATCTCAAAAATTTTTAAAGAAATTTAAGTTGAGCATTAACAACTGCTGTAAGACAATTTATAAACTGAGACAGGAGCCAGTTAGGGAAGAATAAGCCATGATATTATGGCTACACTCTTCTCAAACATCAACTATTTAAATCTTTAAGAAATGAATAATAAATACAGTTATAGCTTCCCATGTATAAATACTTACTGTTAGTGCAAATAATATTTACCTTGTTGGTTATTTTTTGCTCTGTTAACTTCTTACTTACATCATCATTCTGTTGTGCCTCCTGCATGACAAACTCTCGTACCATGGATGGATTATATTCAACCAAGTATGAGAATATATCAGTAGCAGCACTTCGCACCTGTGTATCATCCATGCCCTGCAGATAAAAAGCACTTATTTCTCCTATAATAACAAAAATATGGAACTTGAAGCTATATAAATCCAAAACCTAACAAATTATAAGAGAACATTTGAATAAAAAAAGAGAGGTCAAGGAAATTCTGCTTATGTAAAATTCTTTTTCTATGGATAAAGTTATACTTTCTTTTACTCCTGTTTTTTTTCTACTTTAACATTTCAACTAATAGGCTGCAAAGTTAACAAATTATCAATATTAAAAATATGGAAAATTCCTGTATGTGTCCTTTCAGTACTCTCTGTAAGGACTAATACTAGAATTTTATAGCTTTTTAACTTTATGTAATACACAATTGATATTAAATATTGGCTATAATCAAACAGTTGCATGCTACATAAGAAATATACTATTTTGTGGATTAAAAATATGATGGTAATTAAGTATAAGGAGAAACAAACTTACAAGGATGACTTCTAAAGCTGGTAATATACCCATGTTTGACAAAGTCTTGAAAAAAGCATCTCTGTTTTGAGGTTGTAGCGTTTGGGAGAACGCACAAAATTCTTTTAAAAAGTTAACCTGAAATTAGGAAAAAGGATAAGTGAATATAAAAGGTGTGTTGTTTTAGCTTCATGCCCTCCATAATATCAAATTTCTTACCAATTCCTGTCTTTTTTCCTCATCTGTTGCTTCATCTGTTAGCTGTGCAAACAAATCTGTCAGAAATTTTTCATCTTCCTGTGAAATCAAAGGATAAATTAATTATGCTAATAGTAACAGTGTAATATATTTTCAAAACGCTAATACAGAAGATATAAATCGCAATAACTGGAAAAGGGGAAGATGGTATTGGCAATGCTGTTTTTTAAAAGAGAAGGAAAAAACTATGAAAGGATAAATTGGGGATTTGTACAAAGATTATCCTTTATATTTCGGCAAGGCTCTATTTCTTAAGTCTAGTTAAGGGCCACATTATAAACACTTTAGGCTTTGCGGACTCCACCACAGCTACTCAATTCTGCTGTTATAGTAGGAAGCAGCCACAGGCAATGTCAATGAACAAGTATGGCTCTGTTCAGATAAAACTTTATTTACAAAAACAAACATGGTCTGTAGACCCATGATTTTCATAGGGTTTCATAATCTTAACTTTAGAAGTTAAGGTTCTACAACCACTCAAATAAAGATAAAACTTCCTTCATGTTTTAAAACCAGAAATGATTCAATTATGTAAAAAGCTAAATTCAGAACTTTTAAAGAAACATCTATTATTTGAAGCTATCCACCTACAGACATATAACAATAATTATTAAATTATTCTATGTTAAATTGTATTAAATTATTTTAGAAATGATTCAAAAGATCTCTCATAGGATACTCATCTGGGCATGTAAAAGTTAGAGTATAGAACTTGGAAATAACCTCATATGTTATCTTATCTTACCTCCTTATTTTATAATTGAGACAGATTAAGAAATTTACCCAATGCCCAATCACAGTTAGCAGGTAGGTGGTAGAGCCTTCCTGACTGCCTGTTCAATTTTTTGTCACTATTTTTAGTTAAGATTTTGTTTTAATTCCATACTACCTCAGCTAGTAGAAATAAATTCAACACTACATGCCCTACAGACATGCCTAAGTCTAAATGTATATATGTATGTGTGTGTATATATATATATATACATGTATATGTATGTGTACGTATGTATGTATGTGTGTATCTCCCACTAGTTTATAAACCCCTTATTCACTGCTGCAGGTGCTCAAGAAACATTTTCTGTGACACCAAATTAGTTTGGCTATTCCACCTTTACTTTTTCTGCAGTGTACAAATAGGCCACACCTCAAATGGCATCCAATATCAAGATCCATCTCAGACATAATATATCCCACCAAATGGAAATCAAATGATTAAAAAAGATTCTCTGAACTTCTGTGAAGTACAGAGAATTAAGAAGGTTCAACAGTATTACAAAGAATCAGTCAACAGTAAGGGTTATGACTGTGTACAAGGTAAGAACCTGCTTTAATTACTCCTTGTCAAAAAATGTGTAAAACTCACCTTCCTTCATAGCAGCACTTTCAATATAAATGCTCAGCATCAAGAGAAACAGAAAGACCTACAGCACTGGCAGCCTGCATTTTACAGAGCGTATTGTAGGGAAACAAAGACTTAACAACTTGAAATTATTCATACTTAATGAGTAAAACTGGCATTTTACAGGTCTGAAGACCAAGAAAACAAAGAAGTGACAAATCCCTATATAACAAAATGAGAACCATGTGGAGCTGAAGAAAGGGACCAGCAGTGCTTAGGACTATCCAAGGAGACCAGAAATCAGAACTAGACCAGAACAGAGGATCTATTAGGTAGCTAGCAAAAACTAGTTCCTTAGCAAAGAACAAATGAAAATTGGTACCAGAACACCCTTCTTCTTCCATTATCAATCACAATACACTATGTCAAGGAATACTGTTGTACTTACCAGACTGTATTGCCTATGTTATTTGTCTGTCTTAAATGAATGGAAAACATGTCAAATTAATCAACGTGAACTGGACTTATCACTAGCTTCAGGAAAGCAGTTTTGGTAAAATTGACTTTTCTATCTAAATTCATATATATATATATATATTAAGGTGATAAAACCAGGGTCACTGAAAATACAGCAATTTTCTAAAAAGGAATAGACAAAAATTAAATTTACTGTTTTACTCATAACATGTGCTACCAAGCAGCTCTAACAGACATTTATTTGCCTCTTTCTTAAATTCAAATCCAGGTTTCAAATAATTATTTTATTTGTAGATCTGAGGTAAGGTCTTACAATAGCTTTCAAATCATATCACACAGCTGTTATTGTTACAACATCTTGAGCATGAAGAAACAAAACACACAGGAAGTGTGCAACTCACAAATCTTTGCACTATGCAAACATATTTCAACTGGACTAGACTAATTCATGCACCATGGGATAAATTACTGAGAGATTCTCTGACTTTGGGGGTGTTACAAATGCAGATTACCGGCCAGCTCAGACATTTGGATTGTGTGCTATGTGCAGAATCCAGGATGCATCCTAGGCAGTTCTGATGCAAGCACCCTAACACACCACACCCGAGAGACTGGGCATACTCTAAAAAGAAAATCTGGAGTTTAATAGGCAATTATTAATAGATACTTTAAAATAATACTCAGGAGTCTTGTATCATGTTCAATGCTTTATAGGCATGCATCTGATCTAATCTTCAGATGACCTTATAGGGTAGGTACTAATATCACCAACCTTAAGATCAGGAAGCTGAAGCTTTAAGAGATTAAGAAAGTTGCCCAAGCCACATAGCTATTAAGTGACAGGCAGAGCTGAAACTCATACTCTAGCCTAACCTCCCCACACTCTCATCCATTACAAAAGCATGCCTCTTGGTAGGGAGACATGCAGCTATAACTTGCCAACATCTGCTGTACCTCTAATAAATAATTACCTGGGAGTTGTATAAATGCTATAGAATTTGTATTCTATATTTAATGACATATTTCTTGGCTTCTCTTTTATTTTTCTTTCCTCTTCCAATCTATTCTGTTCTATGCATAACTGATAGATTAATATCCCTAAAATTCCACATTCAAGTGTTTCATTAAGATCCTTTTCCTATTTCTTCAAGCTAGATTTTTTTTTTTAAATTACATTTATCACCCCTAATCCAACACAACCTTCTGGTCCCACAGTATTATATATTATAATCTCTTGTAATATCACCAAAATACATACCTTTAGACAAAAATTAAAAATTCAATTTGTGTGCCTAAAAGGAACAGAAAATTATTTCTGCTTAAGGCAATCAGTATCTTTTTAAGTAGGAAAAAAAAAGAATGATCTAACTCACCTGTAACATACCAACAATTTCTACCTTATTGAAAAAGATAAAAGAGTGAAGTGTTGATAACATATTTTCTTCAAAGACTGAAGGGGTAGGTAGAACCATGTCTTGTATATACTGAACTCGGTATGTCTGATGAATTTTTTGTTTCAGCTCAGGATCTGATATGGGAATCACTTCTTTAAACTTGGCTGTTTTTGTTAGAAATTCCCTATGTTTTCGTGGTTGTGATAAAGCAGGATCATATTCTAAGCATCCAATGACGTCCATTATACATTCCTCAGAGAACATAACTTCAAAAAGAGCAGTTCGATTCAAGAGGAAGATGCCTTTGATAATTTCATACAAGTGGTGCAGTCCTTCAATATTTTCCAAATCCTCACACACATGAAAAAGCTCTAAGAGCTTTTTAATGTAACCCTCATTTTCCAGTGCTAGTGCAAGTTTTTCACGACGCAGGGGGGAAGGTAAAGATGATGCCACAAGTTCTGCAATTTCCTCAAGGCGACTTAATTCACAAGATGGCAATTCTAAACCTGGCGATGACATATCATCAAAACGCTCCTCTTCAGACTCATCTACAAGGTCCTGAGTGATGTCCACTGAT